GCACTGATAGATACTGGAGCATGCACTAACTGCTTGAGCGAAGAATTTGCGAAAAAGTAAGGCCTAGTGCTCAATTAGATCCATAGAGGTATGACCGTCCTGAAGAACATAAGGGCTGCTAATAAAGGAGCTATATACTGTATTGGTTAGGTGTTTATGTATGTTAATATTGCTGGTTCTGATATCATATATAACCTGGTTATCTTTGCTATGTTTAGAAATCTTAGTCTTAAAGTAATCCTGGGAACTGATTAGATATTACTAGCCCAGCTTGAAACCCACTATATGGGGGATGGAAGTTATATTTATTAAGTATATGCACCTGATGGGAGCAGGAGTGTACACTGGTAAGCTGCTGTAGTAATCTCTGAATATCTATTAATGGATAATAAACTGCAAATTGAGGTGGATATAGAAGAGTTGTTAGGAAACGACTAGGCGGCTTGTATTCTGGAGGTAATATTGCCTTACTGATTCCAGAAAATTCAAGATAAGTGGGGTTTATACCATATAATCAGTAATGGCATGATGGAAGCGCAGAGCTTAAATGGGTCCAGCCTTTAAGTATTATGGATTTAAGGACCATGGTGGGGGAGATGAGATGTCAGAAAAAGGCAACGAAGAGGCAGATAAAAAGCTTAGGTGAGAAATAATGGATTGAGTAAAAGAGTAAGGAACTGCGTATCCTGATGTTGTATAAGAAAAAGGCGGATAAAGTGCGGCCTGCTGCAGCCCCACTAGAGGACGGCTTGATTCCTGGTAGTGATATTAATTGGTTTAAGAAAGTCTTAGTGGCGTACAGATAGTAAGCCATACCGGAAGGTGTGACTGCGTTAGATGAATGGTTTAAGCCTAGAACTGCATGGTTCCTTTATGGGGTCAGGCTTACGCGGGAGAGACTATAGGTAATGAAGATCAGCTCTGGCTTCATACCGCAGGAGAAGTTGTTAACTGAGGAGGTATTATTCAGAAGGGAGGCTGCACTTAGCTGGGACTTCTCAGAAATTGGGAGGATTAAGCCTGAGGTGGCCCCCCTACAGGTTATACGCACCGTTCCTTATGAACCTTGGTAAGCGAAACCATTCCATATACTAAAAGCGCTCAGTAAAATAGTGACGGAAATGCTTCAGGATAGGATATCCTCCGGCCGTTTGGAAAGAAGTCATGCGCCTTATAGGAATCCTTTCTTCCTTGTTAAAAAAAAGGATAGGAATTATAGGCTTATTAATTCCGTGATATATATCAACTGAGTGATAATACGAGATGCCTTTGTACCCCCTTCAGCTGATGAGTTTTCTGAACGCTATGCTGGATGTACTCTTATGATAGTTGCGGACTTCTTTTCAGGATATGATCAGCTAGAGCTGGCAAGAGAAAGCAGAGACCTAACTTCATTCCAGATGGAACTCGGTCTCTTGCGCCAGACTACCTTACTATAGGGAGCTACTAACTCTGTTGCCTAGTTCTGTTGTGCAACTCAAGCCATTATGGCACTGGTATAATATCATACTGGGGTATATGTGGATGATGGAGTATGTGGCGGCCCGAGAATAACATATAATAATGAGGAGGCACTGCCAGGCGTATGTTGCTATGTACTTGAGCATCTATAATAGGTTAGTGAGATGCTTTTGGCTGTTGAATGTTCAGGGGCAACCGTCTCTGGAAAGAAACTGGAAATAGGAGCTGAAGGAGTGACTATTGTTGGTTACTATTGCGATGCTGATGGGAGACACCCTGATTATGCTAAATGAGAAGTGATTCTGAATTGGCCTGAACCTATAACTCAGAAAGGAGCCAGAGTATTTATTAGGGTCTGTATATACTACTGTATTTGGATCAAAGATTTTGCAATAATTGCTAAACCTATTTTTTAGCTATTTTAGAAAGGACAGAAGTTTGTCTGGGGTAAAGAATAGCGGGCAGTAATGTGAGTGCTTCAGGATGCTCTAACCAGATCACCGGCTCTATGACCTATCGATTATGGCGAAGGCGCCGGGGAAATTATTGTGAATGTTGACGTAAGTGGAGACGGCTATAGAGGCACCTTAGGCCAGGTGCAGCCTGATGGTCGATGAACAGTGGCTTGATATGAGAGTGGGATTTGGTTAGTATCGGAACAGAAATGGGATGCCGTGAAACTGGAATGTCAGGTATTAATGAAAATCCTTAAGAAATTCAAGCTTTACCTGTATAGGGTTAAGTTTATTATAGAGACGGATGCTAACACACTAGTTGCTCAACTGAATCGGCCTGCTTTAGATATTGCTGGAGCGTTAGTTACCAGATGGCTAGCATGGCTATTGTTTTGGGACTTCAAAGTTTGTCATGTTAAGGGGATGAAGAATTCAGCAGCTGATAGGTTATCGCGAAAATATGAAGGCCTTATGATAAAAGATGTCTCCCACTATAAAGACGAGGAGTGGCTTAACGGCACCCTGGGAGTGTTATACTTATCCGGACCGCGAATCATTACCTATAAGAAGACATTCTTTCTAGGAATACTGAATAATGGAGGGCTTGACGACTCAGCCAGTACTAATAATAGGTATAATAGGCCTATATATAGAGTAGAATATCAGCTTATTAGAGAGTACCTGAGTACTGCCTAATACCCAGCAGGCTTACCTGCAAAGGAGTTCCGCAAAATCAGGAGGCTTGCTATAAAGTATCGCCTTATCAGCTCAACACTCTTTTAAAGAGGCTGTCTTGGTTAACCTGATAAACAAGTAATCGAAGGCCAAGACGAACAAGCTAAGATCATTAAGAGGCTCCATAACGAGTATGGGTATAAGGGGCGAGAGGCCACCTATCGCTTAATAGCCGTATGGTATTAGTGGGAAAATCTCTATGGCGATATAAAATGGTATGTATAAGCCTATCGCGAATGTTAGTAGAGCGATGGGAGAAGACAATGGGAACCCCTAATTGCTCGAGTGGGGCACGCGCTTGGTCAGCGATGGTCGGTGGACTGCACGAGTGTGTCTAGAGGAACTTGGATAGTCCAAGCCAGAGAAAAGCTATCTGGATGGCCTGAAGCAAGGGTTCTGCGAGGGAGCCCGACGTCTGAACAAGTGGCAAAGTTCTTGTAGGAGGATATCCTTAGTCGATGGGGATGCTTTGAGTAGCTTAGTTATAATGGTGGTGCCGAAAACAAGCTTTGGACTAAGGCACTGCTAAACCTATATTAGATTAGAAAGATTCAGATATCTCCTTATAACTCTTATGCTGCAGGAGGGATAGAGGTTAAGTATAAGTCACTTCTAGCAGCGCTCATGAGGGTAACGGATGGAGGGAGATTGCCATGGAAGTAATACCTGTACTCTGTGCTTTAGGCAGACCGCATAATAGTAAAGGACTAGACAGGTATAACACCGGCTTAACTGATGCTTGGGGAGGAATATATTCTACTAATTAAGCTTAAGCATCAGATATGGCAGACCCTGCCCTGGACCAGTGTGCGCTCTACTGCAGACCTGCTAGAATTATGAGCAAGACAGATTAACCGGAGGGACGATAATATTAAGGAAGCTAAAGCTTAGCTGGAAAGAATATAAGGAAAGGCAAATGAACGCTGGGAGGATGACTGTTATGGCAATAGGAGGAATGAACCCCTGAAGGAGGGAGACTTCGTCCTACTGCATAACACTTGAGTTGTTAAGGATTTCGGGAACAAGCTTATATTTATATAGCTGGGTCCATATCGCATTCGTTCAGTTCTGCAACTCGCCAAGACTGAGGAGTCTACTGGGACATACCTGCTAGAGGAGCTTGATGGAACCATCATACATACACCGATATGAGGCGACCGGCTAAAGAAGTTTATCATACCTGAGAACATATTAGTAAGGCAAACTAATGCTAATTACCGCTATCAAATTAAGGATATAGATAAGGATAATGTAAGGACCGTGACACCAAGTGAGAACGAATCCACCGGGTCAGGTGAGGCTGTGAGCTTAGAAAGTGGCGAAGAAGAATAAGACCTACCCTGCCGACCAAATACTTAATACCAGGCGCGTTAGCAACAAGCTAAAGATGCAGATTGATGGTTTGTTGAAATATATATTTAAGATCTACTAGGCTTTAACTAATCCTAATATCAGGATTTTGGCTGCATTTTTGGTTTGAATGGAGCGCAGTGGTAGTGTTGCGTGAGAAGGAATATGCTTGAAACAGCGCTATTCCTGATTCAATTTTGCTGCGCAGCGCGGCGAAATCATGCTCGACTCTGATTAGTCCGCACTGTCCTGGCTAGTGATGCTATCCCTAATTTGATTTTAACGCGCAGCGCGGCGAAATCATGGTTAAATATAATTGGTTGGATTATATGTAACTGCTCTGGGATAGAAGGTCTTAGGTAATAATATCAGTAAAAGATGCATAGTAAGAGCATGGCGTATGGGGCAATCATGGCAAACCGCCAAAAATCACCGGGATTGGTTGAGTATGGCAAAGGAAGGCATTATGATGCGGGCAACGAAGGCAATAGAAGGCGCCAATAGCCGGAGAAGGCTAACACTGGCTATTGAAGGTATAGAAGAAAACATAAAAGCATATCTTTAGGTATTCTATAGCCTGGAAACCTAAGTTAACTAAGGAAGTTATGGTTTTATTTAGGAATTTTCTTGATAAAATTAGGGCAGTACTACCAGAACCATATTATAATAAAAACAGCGAAACAGCAGTATAAGACAGGATGGCTTGGTTAGGATTCAAGAAGCGAGGCGAATTTGATATACAGGAAGAATTTGGAGCCTCAGAGAACCAGCAAGAAAGGCCCAGTATGAGGACAGAGATATAATTATAAGATCTACCTGAGACTGCAATACAGCGCTATACTTTAGGGGAAAGACCGATATATACAATGAGTGTGCAGTTATAGGAAGGATTTAGGATTATTAGCTCTCTAAATGTAATCTCTGAACTAGAAATAATGCGAGATATTAAGGCCCGGAATGAAAGAGCCCAGGGGTTATTAATTATACTTTGCAAGAAAGGGGAAAGATATTGTGAAGCAGTAGCAAAATTGGCTTAGTGGATGGAGGCGCATGGCTGGAGGCCAAACCTAAATAATTGGAGGATGAACGCGATCAGTGCTGGCCGTAAGTCATGGAATAAGAAAGAAAGCCTGATTTTGAAGATATGAGTACTATACCTGTTAGCTATTGAAGTCCTGGTAGATCCGTACACAGTGTTCATCAAGCACCCTAAGCCCATAGAAGGAGTGGCCTTGACCCTCCCTGGTAGGGACATGCTAAGATCAGTTCTTCGATATTGCGAGTTGGGAAAGAACAAAGGATTATCATACATACAACTTGCTCAGAGGTTGAATATGGCATTAAGGCACAGACTGAGTAATCCTGGGAGAGGCATAAGCAGCGATTTGCATTTCTCTAAAGGTGACTTTGATAGGGCTTATGCGAACCTTAATTTAGAAAATGAGCTACGAGAGATCTCTCTCAGGATCTTCCAAGAGTGGAAAAATGTTACTTGAGACAAGGGAGTGGTTCTGGCATACTCCAGTAAATATAACCTAATCTATGATGCTGGGACCGAGGAGGGAAAACGCTTCAGAAGAGAAAAGGGAGATACGGAGAAACAGCTGCCATGGCCTACTATGGGAAAAGAGCTTTTAAGGATGCTGCTTTATCCGGAATTTTCACTAATTATACCTGCTGGGGAGATACTAAAATCTAGGGAAACATTATATGAGAAGCGAGCTAGGTCAAAATCCCTAAGCTTAATATTAAGTTCTCTTACCATATCACCTCCCTCCAAGCAGCAACAGGAGACGACCGACAGCCGAAGGGCAAGCTCTGATCTACGGAGTTCAGTGTTGTCAACTGTTTCAGAACGGGCCATGAAGCACCTCTATGAAGGGTCCTACTTACCGAATTTAAGCTATGCAAGAAAGGAGAGATTATCTATAAGTTCAGCGCCTGAAAGTATTGGAATTGAGCTAGGATGATGTGAATGTGCAGCAAGAGACAACAAAGTGGTACAGGCAGCTTGGGAAACTCCTGGAAAGCTCTCAGCAACACAGCGTCATAAAGTCACCCGTGAATTGCGAAGATTGCTACCTGATGATGTCGATAATCTGGATGAAGATGACATAAAACAGCTTATCTGCTTCCGACATTGCCAAGCTACTGCACAAGCCTTAGGAATGTATAAGTATATCTTAGGGTTAATATACATTATCCTATTTAGACGCCTATATGTAGCTTTAAGATTCCTAAATATCAGTGATATGGCTGCAGATAAGAGATATTGTAACTGGTTCCTGCTGTCTGAGTGTTTAGTAAACTCACGAAATCTTCTCGGCGTCTATGTATATAAGACAGAATCTAGGTTTATAGAAGTGTAAAGGTTATGGATCGCCCTTTAAGCAGTTACGTGTCTATAATAGAACCTGAGGCAATTCCTAAGGACAGATTTTATTGAACCTTGGGAAAGAGATGGAAATATCATTCTGCCTGCCTTTAATTGGCTTCACTCTACGAGAATAGGAGGCGTTAAGGAGGGAGATCTCACCTACGGCCTCTCACTTCTCGAGCTGATGAGAGCTGAGTTTGAAATATACCACTGGCATGAGAGGATTGATGGGCTCCCACGAACAAGTCATAAGGGATGGCTGCGAAACATGTACCACAGCTTAAGTCAGCAGCTTGTAAGGAGTGATATGGTATACTACCTCCTCTATATAGTGCTTTAACTAGATTATGCTTCCTATTTAATAAGCTATCCCTACTATGCAGGCCATAAGGATCGAGGTGATAAGATAGGATTTTGTTATATTGATATTAACCTCTGATAGCTTATTAAAGATTATTGGGGGTTCAATCAGATTTAAGGATCCCTAAGCCTTGATGGAGAGAACATACATAACTGCATAGAAATTTTGCCTGGGATATATGATACACGGCGGCTGAGTGAGTGGAGAGATATGGTGTAAGAGCGCGGCATAATTTTTGGAGATGGATTCGTGGCCGGGATCCGTAAAGAACACTGGGGAAATCATGAGATTAAGAGATTCAAGACTGATTGGATAAAGGTACCCTATAAGGCAGGAGATATATATATTATATCTCCAGCTATACCTTATGGTTTAACAGAAGGCAATACTCGCATGAGCTTAAGGAGGACCGTCCTCCCTTGGTTTATTGTAGTTTGCGATAATGATAAGACACTTGAAATTCCTGAAGCAGGCTCTTAGAGTGAACTCTTGGTAGCATACAGGGATAAGATAAGCGGCCCAGTTATACCCTTAGGACTCGCAGTAAAGTATGGGAAAATTCCATATGCCTTTCCAGTAGTAGTTGATTTTACTCTGCAATGTGCTGCAAGCAAAGCACTTCTTGGAAAAATATGATGGACGTCAGCTGAATACACCTTATAGAAGAAGGCTTTTATTTCTGAAAATATACCTTATAATAGATTTAAAGAAATGATTAAGGCAGCTAGAGAAGCTATAGCTAGGGAATTTAGAGCGCGCTATCAGGAGTTTATCTTTATAGAAATGGTGGCTTTTGGAGACAAGAGCATCATAAAGCATTTGAAATGGAAGCCCGGCTAAGCCTTAGGAAAGGGGTTTAAGCAGTGTTATAGGGAGGCATTCCCTAAATGATTACCAGAGGATGATATTACTAAAGAAGATAAGTTGATAATAGATAACCTATAGAATGAACGCTTGGTTGAGGAGGGAGAAAAATAAAAAAAAAAAAAAAAAAAAAA